TGTACAGAAGATGAGGTAATCAGTCCCTCAACCTAGGAGTAGGTGCGAAGAGCACCATAGTCGTGGAGATTCTGAAGCAGAAGAAAGGAGCCTGGCGCTTATATAGTAACGTCAGGTGTAGCAGACGAGGGCATATTCACTGGTAGGCGGGATTCCCCAGTGGAAGTAGGGGGTGGGTAGCAAGAAAAGCCTCTAACTGAATGCCACGGGAATCACAGTGAGACCCCCGCAGAGGAAATGATGGGCATTAAAATCGCCAAGTAACAGAAGTGGTGGTGGTAATGACAAAACAAGAAAGGCAATATCTGGGATAAATAATGCCCGAGAAGGAGAGAGATACAAAAAAGAGAGTGTATACCACCTATGCAAGTGGATACGGGCTACTGTGTAATGCAGTGAAGTACGAATGAATAGCTGATGGTACAGAATATCAGTGCGTAGAAGGGCACTTTCATTAAAGGTCCCATCAGGAAAAGGATCTGAAGAATACAATAAATTATAGCCTGAGATAGGATAGATAACGGCAGAGTGTAATTTTGGTTCCTGTAAGCAAACACCAACAGGGAAAAACTGGGAGAGCAACATCTGAAGCTCACCCCGATTACCCCTGAAGCCGTGAATATTCCACTGTAAATAGGCCATGATTGGCAACGATAAAGATACCTGAAATCTGCAGGTAAGGGTACCTACGGACTAGAGGGGTTAGAAAAGTCCACATGCGGTGGCAAAGGAAAACGTTCAAGTAGCGAAGGAACGGTGCATTGTGAAGAAAGGAGTTGCGCAGATGGAGAAGAGGAAAGAGAAGGAACAGAGGGTGGATCAGTGTCCATTGATGGCCTGGTCTCTGCAATATATTCAGAGATTGCTTCAAGTGTTTCGGAGTTCAGAGACGTCATATGGGAGACAATATTGGAGATGGAAGGAGGAGGAGTTTGAGTAAAGATTGGAGCTGTAATGGACTGTACCAAGGTGGGGGGGGGCAAAAGGGTGAAGGGAACTGAAGAAGTGTGGGAGGGAACTGAAGAAGTGTGGGAGGGGACAGAAGAGGCAGAAACCTGGGAGGTGGCAGAAGAGGAAGAAACTTGGGAGGGGACAGGGGAGGAAGGCACAGTACGAGGAGGAAGATGAACCTCCACACTTGTAACAGAGTCAGTGAAAGGGAAAGACTCAGGTACAGAGACCGGGAAGGTAAAATGTGGAGGTGGATGAAGGGAAGGAGGGGTTAAAGGAGATTTTTTGGGCCTCTGAGAAGTAGAGGGACGATTGGGAGGAGGTGTCGTACGAGGTCTTGTCGATACCGGGGTTTGTGAGGGAGGACACGAAGAAGTGAGGACAGACTGAGGAGTTGAAGTAGAGACGTCTGAGCCCAGGACAGCCAAAGAATTAGATACAGGAGTGACTATGGGACTGGCAACCGCAGAGGAGGCTGCAGAAGATGTGACCCCAGAAGTGGGGGGACGCTTTGAAACACGAGAATAAGAAACACGGGGCAGTCTCCCTTGGAGGCGGAGATGAGAAACCACCATAGCATAAATAACAAAAAGACACATGTGCGGCGTCTGGTTGTCTTTGTTGTGGACGTTTCACCATCCAGTGGCTGGCTGGATGGCGAAACGTCTACGATGGGGATGCCCAGGTGTTGTGCATGTGTCTTAATTTCATCTTGTCGGTATTATATACAATTCTTGTACTACTACTACTACTACCTCCACCTCTTCCTGCCTATATATAGCCGTCCTGCTCCACCTCTGTTAGTGTGACTTTGTCAATGGTCCACGTCGGACCGAAACGTCGTCGTAAGCTTCTCTCTTTTATGTGCGGGTTATTTGTATACCATAGCATAAGGGAGACCTTCTGCCTCTTTGAGGCAATGAATTTCCCGCTCATTTAAGTAGACTTGGCAATGGCGAGAGTGCGAAGGGTGAGCCTCATGACAGTTAAGGCAAGAGGGAGTTCGACTGCAAGACGTATTAGAATGGTCATTGGCACCACAGACTGGGCATTCGGCTATAGATCTGCAATATTTTGCTGGGTGGCCAAATCGCCAGCAATTCCTACACTGTTGCGGTGTAGGGATCACCGTCCGAACTTGTAACCGATGTCCTGCTACATAAACAGAGGATGGGAGTTTACGGCTGTCAAAAGTTAAACGAGCCACATTGCAAGGGTATCGTCTTCCCCCGCGGGCAGGAAGAACATAAGTGTCTACCTTGAGAATTGGGAGATCTTGGAGTTCCAGCTGTTCGAGAATGTCAGTGCCACATGTCTGGAAATTCTGTTGGACTATGGTATGGGGCAGAATAACAGTACCACTACAAGAATTGAGGGAATGATGTTTTTCGATAGTGATAGGAATAGTATCGATATGTGAAAGAAGAGAAAGATCATGAGCTTGGGTAGAATTCTGGACTGTGATGATGCGCGTACCACTCTTAAGAGCATGAAAGGAAATATCTCTACCAACGTGGCGTAGGAGCGCTTTGCCAATACTATGGTCGGAAAGATAGGCAGTAGAAGAAGTCGGTCTTAATGTAAAGAATTTAGTCCATTGTGTGGTCTGAAACTGAGTGTGGAGAGGGAGTGCATGACGTGTTGGTTTTTTCCGAGTAGAAAGGGAAGGTAACGAAGTAACATCATTAGGAGATTGTTGTTGACGTTTAGAAGTGGGACCAGAGTCGGTCTGACGTGGGACGGGCCGGCAATTTGAAAATCGCTGCACCGTAGAGGGAGAAGCCGGAAGCATAGTCAAAGGAGAGCGGAGGTCAGACAAATCGAAGGAGTCAGTGGGAGCCCCGGTACCTGAAGCGGGTGAGGAAACAGCACCAGCAAGAGGTACAGAGGCCTTAGGAATGTCCGAAGAGTGGCCAAAAGACGAGGCGAGGTCAGAACGGGGTGCGGTAAAAATAAGGGGCCCGGGGGTAGCGGGGTCATGGATCGGGTACTCCATGGTTAGGTTACTTTTCTTTTTGTTTTTAAGAAAAAAAAAAGAAAGAAAATAAAAATAAAAAAAAAAGAATAAAAAAAAAAGGGGGGGGAGACCGGGGAGGGATAGTTCCTAGGAGGAATGAAAGGGCCAGAAATCTCCCTCCGCGCCTAAGAGGACCTCAGCACCGCAAGTAGCATAGATGCAGCATGGAACCCGTGCCATACCCTACCCATCATGCCAGTAAACCAGCAATCCGGGATAGCAACCTCACATCTGCCGAGCTACCTTGGTGGACAAAAGAGAGGGCGGCCGGATATCCTCCACAAAGCATACCTCCTTCGGCCACCACCCCCGGAATCTGAAAGGTGGCTTCCAGAGATACACCCGTCACCCGAAAGACACCCAAAGCCATCCTCCGGGATACCGGAGAGGGATCGGGACATCCCCCGGCAATCCAGATTCCACGGCAAACTACGCCACCGCCAAGCACCTCAATGGAATGGGATGGACCCTGGTACCCTTTCCCCTACCTAGGAACTAGCACGCCTGTGGGAAAAAATACCCAAGGCCCAAAAGGGAGGGGTGGGGAGGAGGAGGAGGAAAGAAAAAAGGGGAGGATGGGAGAGGGAAGGGGGGATTGTGGGGTAATTAAGTTCGGTCTGAGGAAGGAGACCAACAGGTCTAATTCCTCAGACCAAGAGCCTCTTCACCACGCCAAGGAGCCCCCCTTGAAGAGGTGAAATTTCCATTATTCGTGGTCATGGATACCCTCCCAATTTAAAAAATTGCCTAATCTCATGCTAAATGGACTCCTCCTTTTTTTTTTTTTTGCCTTCTATACAGTTCCAGTCTTCAAAACTTTAACAACCCTGTCTGTGCTTTAGATACCAAACACGTTTCTGATCATAGTATTCTAATTCATACTTCTCCCATCACTGATTCTTTGTGTCTGCTTCATTCCCTGCTGCTTCTGTTCTCTTCTATACCTTAGTGAAATTGATCACTCTCTGATAGACTTAATAGTAGCAAATGCCCTGCTGACACAAACCATACTCTTTTCTATCATGTTAGAGATCTTGGCCATCCTATTAAATGGCACCCTACCAAAACTATGTACACTTCTTCTAGCCTGCCTTTCTCAATACACTGTTAAATGCTCTAATTTTCAGAATACTCATAATATGACCTGACCTTTGCTGCTGTCTCTTGTTTCCTCTAAACTTGTCTTCAGTATTTCATTTGTCTTTCCTGTATTCTGATTTTTCCCTTTATTGCTTTTCTTTCCTAGGTTTGGGGCAAATAGCCCACCAAAGTACCCCTCTGTCCCTTAGCACTAGTCCTGCCCAATGTGAGACAGTAAATCTTCTGCAGCACTCCCATTGCTTTGTTCTTATATACAACTGCTGCCACTATTACCAATTCTTTCACTACTACTACACACTATTATTTTAACCAATAGTACAATTACTACTACTACTGCAATTACCTTATTGCTACTACCACCACTGCTACAACCATCATAATTACTACTACTACTGCTGTTAATTATAATACTATTATTACTATTACTGTTCCCTTCTTTTCCCTCCCTCCTCCTGACCTGTCTTCTGGTCTTCTCAGCTCTCTCTTGCTTTCTCAATTGTGACTTGACAGTGGTCCAGGACAGACTGAGACATCATAAGCTTCCTCTCCTTAGGGCAGATTATTTGTAAATCATCCTTAAGAAAATCATGAACATTAAATCTATATTTCTTGACCAATCTCTATTAGACAAATGTGAGCACCTTACAGAATGAGTGACCTCTGCATACTTGCATAAAATAAATATACACAAAGTATACATGCACTGAATAAAGGAAAATTATGTTTATAATTTAGCCTTAAGAAAATCATAAATTATAAATTTATAGTTGTTTACCAATCTCTATTGAACAAATGTGAGCTCTATAAACATATGTTCATTTAAAACTGATTTTGTGCATTAAAAATTGGCAAATTCCAAGAAAATATTTAAGACACTTGAGTTAGTAAAATAGCTTCATTCACAGCTTATATGCAAAATAAAACAGACTGCTCTTTACTCTTCTGACATCATCTATTTATATTTAATCACTTGCATAAAGAATTTACAATAATTCATTTAGCATAATTATAAGCCAGTGTGTGGCAGTACAAAGCATTTATATTATGTAACCTGAGATTGACTCAAGATGCTACACATAATTGTGCAAATATCAATCATGGCATATTTAGACATTATTACACTTTAATCCCCAAAAATAACATCTTACTACATTTATCTATTTATTGACAAGATGTAATGCTGATTTATTCTATGAATGTCATGATTTGTAATATTATTACTTGATTACTCTTTATAAGAAATGTATATCACATATGGACACTTGTCAACTGAAGTTTCTGAAATGTTTGTTTAATCTCACAGACAATGCAGAAAACATTTATTACTGCATAAAAATGGGGTCAAATGTACCCTATCTATGCCTATTGTATATAATTTGAATATTTTCTCATAATAAAATACTTTTCAATATAGCTTTACTATTATATTAAAAGCACCTTTTTTTTCAAAGTTATATTAAAATGCAGAAACTTTGGCAACTCTGTATTAATTCAATGTTTCAAGGAGTTATTAAAAATTTATTTAAAAAATTTTCTAAAAATGCTAAAATCTGATAGAAAAAATCCTTGACATCGAATTATTCTTACAATAATTCAGCACGAAGTAATTTCTTTAATCAAACTTTATCACATAGCGAAAAATTTTCAAATCTGTTATTAACTCTTTGGAAAATTTAATAATTAGATACAAGGGTGCCAAAGTTTTTGCACTTTACCAGAGCTTTGAAAAATTAAATGCATCCAACAATATAAAAATTTGCAGAAAATAACATTTTTTCACATAAAAGCATGTACTGAATTACACTGCAGTGACACAATCATATGAGAGCAATCCTCACTGTTGCTACAACAAAATAACAAATAAATACAGATATAAAATCTGGGTAAATAAAAAAATATTTTACTTCAGATTATAATTAACAAGAGTAAATAAAAAAATTGTCTATACTTATTATACACAAACTGAATTCTGGTATAAAAAGCTGCAAATATACAGAATAATATTAAAAAATCTCTAATTAATAATAAATGATCACAGAATGAAAAATGAAAGAGAACAATTACCAATGATTCAAAATTAAGCCCTGTCTAATGAATGTTCACGAAGCCTGCTGGTTAATGCTGTCTCTTAAAGAAAGTGGGTGATGGGGTGTGGGTGCTGATGAGAGACTTGATGCTAAAGGAGGAAGCACTTCAACCTGTCCATTGGAGACACTGGTACTGCTGGACCCACTGAGATGACCTCGCACACTTGACAATGTTTCTATTACCTGAAATTATACTATCTTTCAAATATAAAATTATAATATATGTCTCTCTTGTTCTGCAAAGTGAACTTCAATTTCCAGAGTATAATTGTTTTACATGATGGTAGGATTGCTGGTATCTTTTTTCCATCTCATAAACATGCAAGATTTCAGGTACGTCTTGCTACTTCTTACATTTAGGTCATACTACACGTGCATATACAAGCATATACATATACACACACACCCTTCTGGGTTTTCTTCTATTTTTCTTACTAGTTCTTGTTCTTGTTTACTTCTTCTTATCTCCATGGGGAAGTGGAACAGAATTCCTCCATAAGCCATGCATGTCGTAAGAGGTGACTAAAATGCCAGGAGCAAGGGGTTAGTAACCCCTTCTCCTGTATATATTACTAAATGTAAAAGGAGAAACTTTCATTTTTTCCTTTCAGGCCACCCCACCTCGGTAGGATACAGCCAGTACGTTGAAAGAAAAAGAAATCTGGTTGTTTCCAGAGGCTCCTCCTTTTCTCTAAAGCCATTAATATGCAATCATCCCTGATTTAGTGGCTAGGATGAATTAAATAAAATATATTATACCCTATATGTATATAAAGCTTCATTATGCTATCCATAAAATTATGTAAAATATGTAGTGCATTTTCAATATAAGAATGAAGGAATTACGTGTCAAAAAAAAAAAAAATAGTTTTACCTCTCAAGGAAGGTTCCTTGATGCTGGTGAGGGGCTCTTGATCTAGGGAATTGGATCCGTGCTCCAGTTCTCTGAAACCTGAATACCTTTCACATCCCCCCATAGGCGCTGTATAATCCTACAGGTTTAGCGCTTCCCCCTTTATTATAATAATAATAACAATACATCTGAGACACCAAAGTTAATGTGTTTTTAACACGCTGGCCACCTCCCACCGAGGCAGGGTGACCCGAAAAAGAAACACTCACCATTATTCATACTATCATTGTCTTCCCCAAGGGCACAGATACAACAGCTCAGATTGTCCCTCCAAACAGTAAATACAGGTGGGCTCCACTTATACAGCAGGTAAGAGAAGATTTCGTTCAGATTTTTAACCCCGCAGGGTTAACCACCCATGATAACCCAAGAAAGGCAGTGCGTCATCAAGAACTGTCCGTCTTATTTCCATTGGGGTCCTCAATCTTGTCCCCTAGGATGCAACCCACACCAGCTGACTAACACCCAGGTACCTACTTGCTGCTAGGTGAACAGGACAACAGGTGTAAGGAAACGCGTTGAAATGTTTCTACCCCACCAGGAATCGAACCCGGGCCCTCTGTATGTGAAGCGAGAGCTTTGCCAGCCAGGCCATGGGGCTACTGCTGCTGTAAAGTGAAACATAGCCTTTTTCACTTTCAAATGTATATAAAAGCCTAATAATATGTTTACACTACAAAGCTCAGGGTCTGTGCTCTGTGCCATAGTACCACGTGATGAGCTCAGGTCACTCAGATAAGCAATGAGCGGTAAATTTGGGCCTAGATATGAGAGAATGGACCTATGTGGCAAGTGTGCACTATATAAAAAAAAACCTGCCCCATGCATTGTATGGGGAAAAAAACTGATCATGTGTCTGGTTAAAAATAGCAACTTTGCACTGTATTTTCAGATGTTATTTTATGGTTGTATTCTCAGTTTCTTTGTATCATTTGACAGATAAAAAGATATACAGCCTCTCCTCACTTAATGACATATTATTATTATTATTATAATCAAAAAGAAGCGCTAAGCCACAAGGGCTATACAGCGCTGCAGGGTAGGGAAGAAAGCGAGGGTATTGGATGGCAGAAGGGAGGACGGATGATCAGTAGGTTAAAGAAAACAGCGGGGCAGGGGATAGAACGGGGGTAGGGGGTAGCAAGAGATTGAAGTAGAAAGGGCTGAAGGTATCAGAATTTGTGAAGTAAGTCAGTTGTTGTCAAAAAGTCAATGAGAGAGTCTGGATGAAAGGTGGGTCCATCAGCGAGAAGGGAAGGTAAAGAGAGCAGCAGAGCGAAGACGACGACGGAGGTAAATTCTGCGTGCTCGTTGATAAAGTGGGCAGTCCAACAGAATGTGGCTGACTGATAATGGAACTTGGCAATTCTCACAGAGAGGAGCAGGGCGCCTCTCCATGAGATATCTATGATTAAGACGAGTATGGCCAATGCGAAGACGGGAGAGAGTAGTCTCCCAACCTCGACACTGGTGATAAGACGGCCAGTAACCTATACTACTCGGTTTAATAGATTGAAGTTTGTTGCCGAGCATAGTAGACCAACGTTGTTGCCAACGGGTGTGAAGTTGGGAAGATATTGCAGCAAAATAGTCCGTAAATGGAATACCTCTACATGAAACTGGTAGGTCATGTACTGCTGACCGCACAGCAGTGTCTGCCTGTTCATTGCCCTGTACGTCAACATGACCAGGGACCCAACAAAAAACAATATCTTTATGCTTGGTAAAGATGCGGCGTAGCCAAAGTTGGATACGGAGGACTAAGGGGTGAGGTGTATCAAATTTCTGTATGGCCTGTAAAACACTAAGGGAGTCTGAGACAACCACAAATGATGACACAGGCATAGATGCAATACGGATAAGTGCTGTAAGGATGGCATACAATTCAGCAGTAAAAATACTAGCCGAAGATAGTAAATGCCCTTGTACGACGCTGTCCGAAAAAACTGCTGCGAATCCAAACGCCGTCAGAAGACTTAGAGCCATCTGTGTACACAGCAAGGGCATGAGAATGAGAGTGAAAGTGGTCAAGAAAATGAGAGCGGGAAGCGACCGTAGACATTTGGGGCTTCCGAGCAAGGGAGAGAGAAAGAACAGACTCGAACAGCTGGAACTTCCCAGGGGGTAGGGAAAAGTGAGATGCTACATGTACATAGAAAGGTGGTAATTGAAGAGAAGACAAGAGTGAATGAAGGCGAAGAGAGAAGGGACGGAGTAAAACAGGGGCGGTGAACAAATAAAGAATGTCTACTAATATCAGTGACCATTCTATAAATGGAAGGATTGCGGAGATCATGAGAGCGTACATAGTAGGCGAAGGCAATGGGCATCACGGCGATCGGAATAAGGGAGGAACGTTCGCTTCTGCATAGAGGCTCTCGACAGGGGAAGAGCGAAAAGCACCAAGGCATAAACGTAATCCTGGTGATGAATGGGTTTAAGGCTAGAGAGAGTAGCAGGAGATGCCGCTGAATAGATCTGGTCACCATAATCAAGTTTCGATAAGATAAGGGTGGAATGTAGGCGAAGGAGGGTTCGACGATCAGCTCCCCATGAAAGATGAGCAAGGGTTTTAAGGAGGTTCAGCCGCTGTGGCAAGTTGCCTTCAGAGAGGTAATGTGAGGTTTCCAGGATAACCTACGATCAAAGAGGAGGCCCAGAAACTTGACTGTATCACGTTCAGGGATACGGGAGCCATCGAGGTACAAAGGATGATCGGAGATGACAGAGCGTCTAGTGAAAGTAATTTGGTGGGTTTTAGTGCTGGAAAATTTAAACCCACGTGTGGTGGCCCAATTGGAAACACGGTCAACTGCATGCTGGAGAGAAACTGTAATAAGGTGACAGTCAGCGCCTGCACAGGCAATAGCGAAGTCATCAACATAGAGTGATGACCAAATATTTGATGGAAGACTAGAGACCAAACCATTAATAGCAAGGAGAAAAAGTGTTGTGTTCAGAACACATCCCTGGGGGACACCTTCAGCTTGGATAAAGTCCGGGGAGAGCACATTATTAACCCGAACACGGAAATGCCTGTCAGTTAAAAAGTTCTTAAGGAAGGATGGTAGATTGCCTCGAAGGCCTAAGGAGTGGGCTTGGGCTAAAATATTATACCTCCAAGTTGTGTCATATGCCTTCTCAAGGTCAAAAAATATGGCAATAACTGAGTGGTTATTCACAAAGGCGTTACGAACATACGTATCCAAGCGTAGTAAGGGGTCTATGGTAGAACGTCCCTTACGAAAGCCATATTGACGAGTGGAGAGACGTTGTGTGTCTCTAAATACCACACTAAACGTCTATTTACTAGGGGTTCCATCACTTTGCAAACTGCACTGGTAAGAGCAATGGACGATAGTGGGAGGTTTCATGTCCCGTAGTGCCTGGTTTGCGAAAGGGAGAACAATGGCGGATTTCCACAGCTGTGGAAGAACTCCTTGTGGGCCAAATAAGATTGTAAAGGCATAATAGGACTGCAAGGGCTGACTGATGTAAATGTTGTAGCATACGAATAGAATGTCGTCGGGCCCAGCTGCCGATGATCGGCAAGCTGAGAGTGTTTGCCTCCAGTTCTTCAAGTGTAAAAGGCACATTATACTGTTCTTCTCTGAGAGAAGAGAAGTCCAAGGGTGCTAACTCTCTGGCAGACTTTGAGGAAAGAAATGAGGGGCATAGATGGAGTCCCTGAGAAATACGGACCAGATGATTGCCAATTTCATTGGCATCATCTAGTGGGTTTGCTATATCAAACACCGCAACCCGCAGAACAGGAGCTGGGTCAGGAGAATATTTACCACCTCAGTTTTCATACTTTTTCCAGACTGCACTCATAGAGGAAGCAGGGGTGATGGTGGAGACATAATCTCGCCAGCAAGTGCGTTTAGCGTCACGGATGACACGGCGAGCGATCGCACGCTTCTGCTTAAATTCAAGAAGTCTCTCTGTGGTTCTATTGTACCGGTACCTGCCCCATGCAGCGCGTTTCAAACGTACTGCACGAGCACAAGCAGGAGACCACCAAGGCACGCATTTCTGAGAATGCCTGCTTGAAGTTTGGGGTATAGAATGAGAAGCTGCGGTTAAAACGGAGGACGAGAAGAGGTGTAAAAGCTCATTGATGGAGGACGAAGAAGGAACCTCTCTAAAAACAGTTAGGTGTGAGTAAAGGTTCCAATTTGCCTGATCAAATTGCCAGCGTGGGATGCGAAGAGGTGGTGAATATGAAGGGGAAGTAAGAATGATTGGGAAATGACTGCTGTCATGTAAG